AATTAATATAATATTATTATTTATAAAATTTCCCTGCAAAATTATTCGTGTAATTACTTAACAATGTGGAAATATATAATAAATTTCATTTATATTTCTTAGTTTTGAAAATAGTATTTCTAATTCGATGATATCATGTACATACACAACGTAGCGATTTCTACTTCCGTAACCTTGACACTAACATTAGACATACCTGTGATGACCAAGAATACATCAACTAAATTGCAATTTGCAATACTTAAGTAAATAATTACTCATAAATTTTTTAATTAATTATAATCAAAATCAATAAGTAAGGTATTGTGGTATATAATGTTTCTTGCCTCACATTAATTGAAATATATGAGTTTCCGAACTACGCTCAGTTTGGAGATTATTTTAAAAAATATTGCGTAATGAAAATAATTAATAGAGAGAATAACAAAGAAAGTTTTCATTATTAATTACTTTATTTCCTATAAATCGATACATTATAATATATGAACGTATATTAAAATAAAAATATTTTCAATACTTGTATTCTTACAAATATTAAATTTTTTTTGTTATAAGTCCACTAATAAAAATATAATACTTATATCCAAGTTCAATAATAATTCAGTAATTAATCAAATATTCACATTGATAAAGTTAAAACAAATATTTCATTCTTTAAATATTTCTTCACTTTAAAGCATTTAATAATGATAAAATACTGAAATATTATTAACAATATGCATCATTATTTTAAAATTTTTACATTTATGATTTTTGTTGTATAATGTAGCCTGGATAAAATTTAGTTACGCGTACCCATTGACTCCGATTATAAAAGATTAAAGAATCATAATAATATTGAAAAATATTAATGATACTATAATATTTGTTTAAATTAATTACGCAATTTTTACCTTATAATTGAAATAGAAGTATTTATATTGACTTCGATGTAATTGCTCTTAACATAGGTTTTGTAATAAATAACTTTTAGTTAATAAATTAAGACCGAAGAGATACAATTAATATTTAATTGTTATGTACAACAACTAATTATTCGATTATTATATTGATATATTAAAATTATAATGTTTTCCGATTTAATTTATTGACCGTATTGCATCTCATGCTACATATTACGTCAATTATTATCGCAATAACCGAAGCATCAATTACTCGTTATAATAAATTCTGACATAATTCTGATTACATAAAATTCTGTTGTTAAATCATTTGACAGAATTTTACTTTTGTAAATTTAAAACTTTTATTGCTAGATATTACAATAGATTAATTAAGAATATGAAATCATATTTAATACATAAATTGAAAAGAGGAAAACACTATTTCTAAAAATCTATTCATTAAATTTAAAGTTTTAATAAAAGTAGCATATATATATATATATATATATATATATATGTTTAAAGAATATATTAATAGTTTTATATCAACAATTATGATTCATATTGTTGACTAATTTGTCATAAATATAATCATGTACATTAAATCACAGTTGTAAAATCGCCACCAAACTATTCATATATAAATGTAATTTCTACAGATTATACCAATAAAAAAAATATTGATTTTTTTTTTCTCCCTACACATTTCATCAAATACAAAGATTTTATAAAACACGGCTGCTCGCCTTTCTTTTGTTCTAACCGTCCGAACTGCGTCCTTATTGCGTCTTTCAAATTTCCCTTCCTAAACTGTCTGTCTTTACGCATCTACAAAATACTTAGGGGATAGAATTAGGTCAACGTAATAAGCCTTTATGATTAAAAACATAACTACTTTTGAAATCCTTGAAATATTAAAAATATTAAAAATTGATTTATTATTATTGTTTTCTTGAAAATTTGAAAAATATTAAATTCTAAATAAATTTACAGAAAAAAAAAATATAATAAAGCCTGTGTTGTCATGTGTGATTTTTTTAATGATTAGATTTTTCATTTATATTTAGTATTTGTTAGGTATAACGAACGTGTAATCGAGTAAATGAAAACATATATATACGGTGTAAAAATAAAATATATTTCTAATCTTCCATACCATTAATTATAAATACTTTAGTAGTTAAAAACTTTTTACAGAATGATTGTCTCTATTCATTTTATAAATATTTTAAAAGCTTTTAAATATGAAAAAGAAAAATATATTGTAAACGCATTAATAAATATTAGAATAATCATTAAATTATTTACATGAAAAGCTGAACTCAAAACTCTTGTTGATTTAAGAACATTGTTTCTTAAATTAATTATTAATTATTACAAATATATTAGTACGAATGTATTGATTTATTTATAACATAAAGTTCATTATCAATACCTTTTACTATACATTACATATGAAACAAATTGTAAAAAATACATTTTTAAAATCAATCTTTAATTTCTAAAAAACTTACAAATTTTTTAATGGAATTTAATGAATTTTATAACATAAATTTCATGATAACAAAATAGAAATTTAGAATCATACTGTAAGATAACGTGACTACAAATAATGAAAAAATTCATAATATAATATGAATGATTGGTATGACGTTAATTTATTTATAAATATAATTTTAAAAAAAATAATTTCATTTTTTATACTCCCTATTCTCAATATTTCATATTTATTTGATTCCATATAAATATCAATTTGATCTATATCAATAATTTTAAGTAGATTAAAAAAGGTTGTTGATAAGTAAGTAAAACAAAATGATATAATTTTGAATCATAGTCACATTAAAACAGGATATTTAGCGAAAATGGACTATTTACCGATTGAAACGTGTAAGTAAAGTAAGACAATCGATTTACCGATTACCGGTTATAATTTGCTCATATTTTCTACAAATAGAAACTCTTCTTTGGGTATTGGGAAAAAATTTATAAGTTTAATTTATCTGATACATTACATTTTCGAATGGGAGTATTTTATGATTATAAAATTATATAAACATATAACTTTCTCATTATTTCTTAATAAAATAATTTCAATTTATGTTCACAGTCTTATGAAATATTTATAATAACAAGACACATTTTATAATTTTTAGAGCTTGTTTATAGATTTTCGGAATATACATATCTGAATTTATATCGATACAGTTCAACCTCAAAAGTTTATGCAAGTTTAATGTAGATAACGATTTGACAATGCTTGTTATTATGGAAATATATAATACTATGAATATATAATATTATATATAACATGCATTATACAATAAAACACCATAATTTATTTTGAAAACTGATATATTTAACAAGTTAACATCAATTAATGTGCCAGCCTGATAATTGTATAACTTCAATAATTATAAAATTTATATATGTAACACTAAATTACATTTCATACTAAATTTTTATACTACATATTCACTATATGTAATTATGAATAAATAAAATAATAAGCAATTATATAATAAGTTTTATAATAATAAGCGTAATAATATATAATAATAATCCGTAAAAAATATAGATTTCAGAGGCAAAAATTATATCAACGACAAAATAATATTCGAAATAGCATATACAACGTTATAATCATACGGTTAGAAGGAAAAAAATCAAACTACAACAAACATTTGAAAGAGAGAAATAAAAAGGGATGATGCAAATTCCAGAAGCAAAGAATTTGGCAATGAAATCGACCTTGATTCATGATGATCGGCGTAACGCCATCGCTACTAATTTACATGAATTTATTCAGGAGAATCGATATTTTATTATTTATTCACGGCATATAACTTTTTATTAATTATAGGCTATAAAGGAGGTAAGTACTATTCGTCTGCAAGATAAATGCAACAATATTAGTAATAAAATATTAACTTTATAATAAAAATTAAGCAATGACAATAAATTTGAAATCCAACCAAAACGATTTCAAAATAGATAACATTTAAATATAATATATATTTTAACTACAAGATTATTATTTAATAATGCAAAAAATATCTTGTTAACATATATATGTTCTAGATATAAACAAAAAAAAATTTTCTATTCTATCGATCCAATATTTTCCTATTAAAAGAATTTATTTTCTTATATTTGTTTTTTGCTTTAATGTATGTTTTATAGCAAGAATCCTATATATAACTTACATCCGTCTTAAACTTATTAAATTAATTTCTTAGTTATTAATTAATTATACAGTTAAAAAACTAATTAATACCTCGAAATTATAATAAGATACACAAAAATTAAAAATACAATCATTTCAAAATCAGTTTGAAAAAATGTATTAATGATGAATTCTACTGAATGTAAGAATGTAGATTGAGTAAAATGATTTGACGAATTAAAATAAATTTGAATAATATATTTTCCCTTACGAACACAAAAAACGCATTCACATTAAATTATTATTATTTTAATTTAAAATAATATTTCTGATTAATTTGAATTATATTTGTAAAATCTTTTTTCTTTATTTGTTTAATAAAATTAAAATGACTAACTTGAAGGTAATTTGAGTTTAAGTTTAATTACTTTATATAAATTGCTTATTTTACAGATATTTACAGAGAGAGAGAGAGAAAGAGAGAGAGAGAGAGAGAGAGAGAGAGAGAGAAAATATCTAGTACTTAATATTTCTTAGTTAGTCTATATTCAATAGATTTTTCTATTAATAGTATATCTAATTGTTTATTAATATTTTTCAATAACAAAAATGTAGTGACAAATTATATTTTTGTAGAAACATATTTTAATTTAAAAATGTCTCTAATGAAGTCTTTGTAAAAGTCATTTTTATCTTTGTAAGCTTCAAATTATCATATAATTATTTATTTAATATTTATATATAGAGGTATTTAAAAAGTTTTTAATTATTAGTACCAAGCAACACAATGTTTTTTTTTTTTTTTTTTAATTTATCTAATTTAGAATCGATCACCTTACACGATAAGTGCTGCTTGTTCAACTAGTCGTAAATAAGAAGTTGATTACGATTAATTTCTATCCTAAAGGTCATCTATAAAGTCACGAGGACGTAAGAACTTCTCGAACTACCTTTAATTTGAGCGATGTGTGCATCAAATTGACTTTTGCTGCGGACGTAGTCGATCTTGCCAATGACAGTTCTGTGACAGTTCTGGTTAAGGTACTCTGCGTAATAATCCCGGGACGGTTTATCATCAACAGGACTCGCGTCCCTTTTAAAGACCAAGCTTTCCTCCCGGACCCCTTTTCGTTGATTTTGAGATGTTGAGCCCTCGAAGGTTCGCTCATCGTTCGATGTCCGTGTCCTTTTTTCCGGACACGATACCCTTTTCCACGTGCTGTTGCCGTCATTCAGACTCGAGCTACACCCAAATATATCGAACCTTAATCCCCGTCCGCGTCATTTCTATCACTTTCCTTCATCTTTGTGGAAGCTTCGAGCCTTCGTAATTATCGACTTTATGTAACTAACATTCTTTTTGGGCCTTTTAGTTCACAATTAGTCAATAATAGTACCGTTGTCTTATTAAATAAACATATGTACGACGAAATGGTAGAAATGATGATAAATGACTGCTAATTTATTATTTTAATTTGAAGTTTTTATTTTATAAGGTTTTAAGGTTTCTTTTTTTAAAGTATTTTAATGTAATATTATTCTCCCTTTTTTGCCTGATTACTAAATATTTTTAGTATTTTTGATATGATTAATATCTTAAGACACATGCAATCATTTTTTCACACACGTGTACGTACAAAAAATGTAAATGATTAAATTCCATATATTTGTTAAATTTATTTTTAAAATAAGTTGTGTCATTTATTAAGATAGTAAATTAAAAATTTATATATTAGATTTAAAAGTCAAATTAATATGAAGAGATTGAAATATTATGAAAGCTAAAGAGCTAAAGTTAATCTTAAATATTCAAATAAGTATAATAAAATATGTATATATATATTCTTAATGATGCTATTTTTCTGTCGTATAACAAATAATTAAATGAGAATTCTATATTTATATATTTAATTATTTATTATAACACCTAATGTTATAGAATTGCACGTTATAAAAAAGTATATCGATATAGTCATAATTATGAAATGTATTAATAATTATTAAATTTGAGAAATTTAATTTTCCGTAAAGTAGAATTTAAGATAACTAAAATTTAATTATAATTTCTATGTTTCTGGAATATTTTATTAAATATATCTTTATGCAATTAAAATAATTAATCATTAAATACTACTTTACTGCCTATTAACGAAAAATTCTCTTAATTTTACCAATTAATTATTTTATATAAATTTGCATTAATAATATTAATGATATAATTGAATAATCCTTTAGCTTTCATACAAATTAAAAATTAAAAAAATTTTTTTTTTTTTAGAAAATTCAAACAAAATGTTTGAATCAATTAATAACATTTACAAAAATTTATAACATTTTATAAACGAAAATGATTCCTTTACACCAGCAGAAATTTATTATAAAAATATTGACGTGAAATAATAAATTATCTAAACTGAACATTTCATAAGTAATGATAATTAAAAAATAATGAGAAAAAATTTGAGCATATATAAGCGGCCTTTATCTGCACACATTTAGCAGCGCACTCCAATTGAAACAAATATTTCGTAAATTTACAGTTTCTACCGTACACAAAACGATCAGGAAAAATGTGTACCAATTGTTTGATCAGCGAGCGTCTCATTGCTTATCATTCGCAAATTAAGTATTCCACAAAGATGAAGGGAGAGGGGGGGGGGCGAACTCATATTCATCCGAGTGAATAATCTCAGTCTCACGATCACGAGTCAAGCGATCACGCGCTTAACCGGCGTCAATTTTCATCGTCGATATGCACACCTCAAACTCGGAGCTGTAACCTCTCGTGTGCTCTTCTTCATAGTGATTCTTTCGAACTTAACCACCTTTGCCCCCTCGTAATCGCCCTCTTCAACCAGACGATCGTAGCTCTCCTCGAACGAGGAAGTACTAGACCGCGAAGGGCAGGTGGTCTCCTCGAGAAGCTCGTCAGGTGAATGTCTACCTGACAATTGCTCGAAGAAACTGACGCGGTCGCGTAACTGCGAGCTGGGGTTTGTCTTACGCCCTGACATATCGAATCAACCTCAAAACTAAAGCCGTACACTTTCGCTATAGCACCCAAATTGAGTCCCACGGCTGTGAGTTTTACTCATCTCGCGTATTCGAGTGGCCGCCGAGCACGTGACTGGCCCCAACTCTCACACGTCCGCACCGTCATGAGAAATGATAATCGTCCAAGTCTAGTGCCAGTTCGATACTGACGAAGAGAGAGTTGACTCATACCTCCAGCGGCATATGCCACGCCACACGCACTCACGGCGCGCATTTTTCTCTTCCTCCGCAGGTTCAGGAGCTGGAGGGGCGTCGATCCTGCGCGATTCTATCCCCACCAAGCGCCAGATGCAAGTGTCCTTCCAACTCAATTTCCAATTCAGTAATCAGCGGCGAGAAAGAGCGTAGCTCGAATAAACCGCGTGTCCGTGTCTAACTTTTCAAGTCCAAGGGTAGCAGAATCTTACGTCCTTCGCTGATGATTATATACCGGACTCGTCGTACGCACTCTAAACTGACGTAATGATAATTTTATCGTAAGCCCCCTTCCGAGATCTCACAGATTAGTCTAATTTAAATATCGCATGTTTCAGGGTAAGGATTTCTCGTATTTAAGCAGCCGATCGATAGCCTGCTGCTACAAATCCTTTATCGATCGTAGCCCTGTCTAAAATTACCAATTTAATCATGAAAAATAAAGAGAAAATCGTTCGAGTCTATTCGATATATTAACGTAAATAATGATCAAGTTGTTTATAAAATAATTTTTTCTCTATTTAGCGAAGTTCGATTTTCAGCCGTTTAA